GCAGTGGCACCTGCAATCCCTGACAAGGAGGTGAGCTCAGCCCAGCAGGGAGCCCAGAAACCTGCCACACGTGAGGAACAGCCAGAACCTGACAGCAGCCAGCAGCGGGGCGTGCAAGGAGGTCAGCTCAGCCAGCAAGGAGCCCAGAAACCAACACCTCTCCCTCAGGCCTCAGCCACCACCCTCATTGGGGTGTCAGGTGATGAGCGCTTTCGCATCACCTGTGAAGCAAGGCAATTGCTTCACTCAGTGCATTCTCAGGGTGAGATTGTTGGATCAGTGGGCAAGGGCCTGCTGGTTGCGCCTGGCCAGTGGGCCAGGCTCAGCAACATCTCAGAGAATGGCACTTGGCTGAAGACTGAGAGCTTCCAGGTTGGAGACAAGACTGTAGTCAGGAAGCAAGGAACCTCAGTTGGAAGGATCCTGGAGCCCCACAGGAAACTGAGGAAGAGTGACCCTGAGTTGATGTCCAAGCTTGAGGTGATGTCTCAGCCTGCCAGCAATGTGGACTCAGTGATCCTCACTTGGTCTATCCAAGCTCAGGCTGAGCAGTACCCATGCTCAATGTGGATGAGAGACTGCTTCAGCTCAGTGTTCACTGACTCAGCTGCTGAAGCCATGGCTTTGGCCAACCAGCTAAGCTGCCTTGTAGCTGAGAAATGCACTTCCAAGCTCCAGATCACTGACACAGACTTTTCCAAGCAGTTCAAGGCCTTAGTCAGGAGCAAGCTGACTGAGATGAGATCTGAGCCACTCAGTTTGGAAGGTTGGCCCAAAGGAGATTGTCACTGCAGTGGTTGATGGGCAGGAATTGCTCAGTGACAAGAATCTCAAAGACCAGTGGGTCCTAAGGGCTGCTGTCAGGAATGGGTTGTTGGTTTACAGGCCAAACCCTGAGACAGGAAAGCTGGAGGAGCTGCTGTCTCAGAAATGGGCCCAGGAGTTGGAGCTTGAGATGGGCACTAAGAGGTACAAGCCTGAGTACCTCAGTGACAGACTCAAATGGCTCAACAGTGAAGGTGTGCCCGTAGATGCTGACTGGAATTTCAACGAGGTTGCTAAGAGCATCACAGACCTTCAGGTATGGGACTATTTTCACCCTGAAGATGAGGATGAGCAAGGAGAGCTTGAGATCACAGATGCCCTCAATGAGGATTTGGAGCTGGAGCCCCAAAACTCCTTGTCATTGAGGCTGAGTCCTGCATTGAGGCGAGCTGGCCTCAGGAGATTGGGCACCAAGCAGTACAAAGAAGCAAGGCTCCATGAAAAGAAGCACCCCAAGCAAAGGGCAGGTAGGGCTAAGCTGAGGAAAGCTCACAGGAGCAAGTTGGTAAAGGCTTTGGCTCTGAAGGTTCAGTCCCAGTCTAGAAGCAGAGATCAAGCCTGAAGCTCAGCAGAAAAAGAAGAAGCCTCAGAAACCTTCCCTGCTCTTGAAGGCAGCACTGAAGATGAAAGCGAGTGCCAAGACTAAGCCAAGCCTGCACTCCAAGCCCTCAGCTGTTGCAAAGGCAGAGAAGAAGAAGAAGAAGGCTCTCAAGGCCAAAGCTGATAAGGAGCTGCCTGCACTTGAGAAGATTGCTGCTGAGGAGGCACCACCCCAGCAGAAGGCCCTCCAGCCAGTGAGGAAGATAGCCTTCTTCACACTGATGCTGTGGTGACCTCAGAGGCAGCTGGCAAGATCAATTTTGGCAAGGTTGGCAACCTCATGTCCTTCTCTTCTTCCTCAGGAGCGTACACCTTGATGAGTGACACTGGTGCATACCAAGTGATGCCTGAGTGGTTGGAGAGCAAGGACAGCAAGCCTGCTGTCAAGCCAGTCCAGTGGCCCAAGTGGAGCCAGCTCAGCAAAAAGGACGCCAAGCTCATGTTGAGTCAGCTCAGCAGCAACCCTGAGGATCAGAGATCCCTGCAGTTTGATGAATGGTCCTTCCACACAGTCCTCCCATGCCCTAAGGATGTTGCTGAGGTTGAAGACCAGCACCTGCGGTTGGGCTGGGTTCTGCTGAGGTGGATGCTGAGCAAGATCAACTTGCCAAGCTGTGAGGAGTTGGGGATCAACTGTGTTGATCCCATCCTCAGCAAGCTTTTGAATGATCAGGGCTGGCGTTCAGAGCTGCTGGCTTGAGTCCACCAAGGTTCTCTTAGTCCCCATCTATGCATCCTTCCACTGGACCCTGCTGGTGGCTAAGCGCGAAGGCCCTCAGCACCCCATAGCATGGACAAGGTATGACAGCCTCAGCGAAGAACATACTGAGTCCCACCCTGTCCAGCTGAGAATGGGGAAGCTGCTGGATCCTCAGTTTGAGCTGCCACCTCTCAAGAATGTGGCCAAGCCGCCCATTGGCTCCAATGCCTGTGGCTGCTATGTGCTCCACTACATGGAGAGTGAGCTCAGAACCTTGAGGGGTGAATGGCTTTCAGTTTGGCCTGAGGCAGGTTGGAAAGCATGGAAGGAAAGGCTCAACAAAGCTTGTGGCAAGCTAGCCTCAGAGGCTGAGGCTTTGACTGAGGCAGTAAAGCAAGAGCAAGACAAGCTCTCCAAGCAGCGAGCTCAGGTGAAAGAGACCCTGGACAAGGCTCAGAGCAAGCTCAAGACCCTCAAGAGTGTCACCTCTGCAGCCTACTTGGCAGCTCAGGAGCTGGTGGATAAGAACTCAATCACCTTCACATGGAAGAATTTGTCTGAGTCTGCTACTAAGTCTGTCTTAGCCTTAGAAGCTGCACTGGGCAGGTGTGCCAAGTGCAGGTGGCAGTCTGGTTGCTTGGCCTGTGACCCCTACAAGTGCCTCAGACACCACCTGCACAAGGAAGCAGCTCAGGCCAAGAAGCAGGCTTTCCTCAGCCAAGGACTAGGGTTGTAATTAGCTAGTGAACATCTTGTTGGTGGTCTGTTTGTATGTGTTTTGCTTTGCTGCTGGCTGCTTGCCTGGGAAGGGAGGGGGG